AATTAATTACGCATTAATGCTTGGAAGCTGAAGATGTGATCATTTAAAACTGACGGTGTAGACAATACTGATCTTCAGGGCTTTTTTTGTAGAAAAAGCCGAGCAGGAACTCATTAGCATAATAGGCCATACCCAACAGCAGGAACTAATTAGCATATTAGGCCACACCCCTGACAGCACAGCTCATTCGCATATTAGGCCACTCCCCTGCGTTCCCAGAAGTGTGGTCACCCAGCCACACCCACCTTTTGCTTCTTATTCTCTTTACCTTGTTTGTTGACAAAACCCAGGGCCTTTTCTTGTAGCAGGAACTCCTTCGCATGTTAGGCCACACACCCCTAATTGTAGCCAATCCTAATGAGTTCCTGCTGTTGGGTGTGGCCTATTATGCTAATGAGTTCCTGCTGGGCGTGGCCAACTTGGGAGCCAGCCGGAACTCCGTTCCTGTGCGTTCCTGCCCAAAAATAGCCCTGCTGATCTTGATGGACCAGCTTCCCCGTGTAGTTTTCTGTCAACTCGTTTTTGGTGGTGACGAACCACCGGAACACTGGATAATGGACCCAAATCTTGGTTTGGGGTGCTACCCAAAACCCATATTTTTGAAACTTGCTTTTGGGGGTGGGGGGAAAGCAATTCTGCACAAACGGGAAAGCAATTCTTTGAAGCAATTATATCGATTGCCTCTTTGGCTGTCGCGTGTGTTAGGATGACCTGTGCTCCTGGCCTTAACTTGTGTTTTATCCTTCTCCTTTGCTGCCTTGTTGTGTGCCATAGGTGGAATACCAGTGTGAAGGATTTCTGGAGAAGAACAGAGATACCGTGTATGAAGAACAGATCAATATACTGAAAGCCAGCAAGGTAAAAAAAAACGGAGGTGCTTAAAAAGATAGACTAAAGTTTGATGTGTTGTGCGCCTTATCACGGCTTCTCCTTCTCAGCTGTTTGCTATGGTTGAATTACGGAGAACAGGCTTCCATTGTTAGTACCTTCAAAGCAACACTAACTTCCTTTTGCCTACTGCAATCTTTCAGTATAATTTGTCAGACGAATCCCTGTCGGGGAACAGTGAGGTCTGGGAGAGGTCAGAAGGATCGGGCCTTATTGGAATTAATCGTCAGTTCTTCCCCTTGAGGGTTACAAAGGAAATTAATTTTCTGGTTGTTGCTTTTAATCTCTTAAAGGGGGGGGTGTATCTGTCCTTTCTGCCAGTTTTCTCTGCGTACAGCACTCCACGGTATTGTACTTACCTTCTCACACGGGCAATGTTCCCAGTTTGATGTAGTGGTTAAGTGCGTGGACTCTAATCTGGGAGAACCGGGTTTGATTCCCCACTCCTCCACTTGCACCTGCTGATGTGACCTTGGGTCAGTCACAAGCTCTGGCACAGCTGTCCTTGAAAAAGAGCAGTTTGTGTCAGAGTTCTCTCAGCCCCACCCACCTCACAGGGTGTCTGTTGTGGGGAGGGGAAGGGGAAGGAGTTTGTAAGCCGCTCTGAGACTCCAAGTGAATGGCAGGGTATAAATCCAATCTCTTCTTCTTCTTCTTCTTCTTCTTCTTCTTCTTCTTCTTCTTCTCTCAGCTGAGTTAGTGTGAGCTAGCTCACAGTTTTTTAGCCTCCAGCTCAGAGTTTTTTGTCTCAGCTCAGGAAGGATGGCTCCAGAGCAAACTAATTTATGCAGTAGCCAAGTCACTAGCTCACAGCTTTAATGCCAGTAGCTCACATAGTAGAATTTTGGCTCACAAGACTCCACAGCTTAGAGGGAACATTGCACACATGGTGCGTCTTGACTATAGTCAGCAGTGAGACCTGATTAGCTGTAGTTTTGAAATATGCAATAGGAGAACTGGGGCTAGATTTGTACATGAATGACGTGTGCCTTTTCCCCCATCCAGTGGTGAAACTTGCCCTAGTTGACTGCTGTATGTCTGTTTATTGTACCCTTCACTGCTGTCATCTGGGAACAAAATGATCAACGGGTTTTAATTATGACTCACTCTGGACTTTAGCAAATTTGTTCCATCTTCCAGAAGGAGGCACTAGAGGACAACCACATATGAGTGTGAATTCTTTTGGGGGGAGCGTGTTGGCTAGCACCCATGCCATCACAAGGACCAAGCGACGCTGTTCCCCCAGCGACGTATCCCACCAATTCAGCCTTTTCCCCCTAGTCTTGAAAAGAATTTAAACTAAGAGCAGGCTTCTTTGCAGCAGTAGAGAAAGAGCTTTGCCGTGTTTTGTTGGCTTCTTTGCCCAAATCACCACTTCTGTCTTTACTCCGGGGGGGGCGGGGGCTGTAGGGTTCTGTAGCTCCAGATTCAGAACCTGGGCTCGCGCAACCCACCGGAACAGCAGAAGGGAGTCTGTTTTTTTCATTTCACTTTATTTTTGCTACTCTCCTATGTATGACCGGAGCCGTTCACTCCAGAGGCTGTGTGCCGCCAACCCGCAGAGTGACCCCCCCCCCATATTGCAGAAGGCTTTTGTCGAACTTGCTTGTCGTTACCAAAATAGAACCTTGCTCAGGATATCACTCGCTCACACAGACGTACTTTTGTGTTCCTCGTTCAGCCTTGGGCTCTTTTTTTTTTAAAGAAGTCTATTTGCTTCTCCTCCTCCTTCCCCATCTGAATCCTCTAACAATGAAATGAAATTAACCTGCCATTTAAGCGGTTGTTATCTGTCTTGTGCAGTGTACTCCGCGCCCCAGTCTCTTTGGAAACGTTCTGTTGCCGCGGCGTTCCGCCTGCTCTGGGTCCGGATGATTTCATAGGAGCCCTCCGAGGACGTTCACCCTTGAGTGTTTCTCTTGGCAAAAACAACGGAGAGAGATAAACACGGACCTAACGAGAAGGGGAAGAGGTGAAGAGCACCTCTGGGGACGGATCGGCCGCTCTGCTCACGCTTGCTCGGGCTTTCCTTTTTACCAATCTGTTCGGAACTAGGAAAGGAACTGGGCATTGTCTGCAGCTCGCCCTGGCATTCGGTGGCGATGCTGCTTCTGAACTGCTGAGCTGTGCGGTTTTCCTTTCCTTTGTGCGCCCAGGAATGTTTGATTGTAATTACATTCAAGACAGGCTTAAATGCCGCTCAGAAACTAAATTTAAAAAGCCTAACACCATCAGGAGGATTACCCAGTTTTACCCTGAATAGCTGTGAGAGTAAAGTTTATTAGAAACAGTGGGTAATTGTTAGGCACCATGACACGGGCCAGTGAGTCATTCCACCCTGACTTTCATGCTGTCCAAAGGTCTCGGCGGCAGGGGTGTCTGATAAAAAGGATTTCCAGGGGTGTTTCCTAGAGATGCACGTGATGGCTCTTTCAAAGATCAGATTTCAGTAATTCTGGAGCAAAGGTGAAGGCAGGTATGACGGACCCCTGTATCTCCCGAACTGTCTGGCAGATTTTTCCCGCCAAATCTTCAGTTCCCCTCAGTGACTGAGTTGCCCTACAGTAGCGAGTATATCTTCACTATTGATATAAACTTGAAATTGTTCCACACTTTGTTTAGATATTGGTTTAGGCTTTAGACCCAGTACGGGAACTTGAGGGAAAGACAGGAGCTGTGCTGTTTTATAAACCCTTGTGAAATGGCACTTGAGGCAAATTAATTTTCAAGAACAGAATAAAGATTTTATTAAACAGGCAGGGAATATATTTATAGTAGGGGTATTCAAGGTTTTGAGACTGCTGAGGTAAAAACTTTCTAATATATACAGAGCTGAATTCTTAGAACATTCAAGAGGGCGTATTTGTAGTTTTGTTTCAAGGTTTTCTAGTCCTTTCTTTGAGAGGTACTTTGTTTAGTATAGTTCAGCACTAACTTGGTTCTTACTAATGTTTTTTCTGGAGGACAGTGCTTGCTTAAAGTCTCTCGATTTCTACCTTCAGAGTTCTAGGTTTCCCTTTCAATATTACAGCTTTTCCCTAACTCCTGAGGTGTCTAAGCTTCTGCCCTTTGTCACAGACCAGGGTTCTCTTCCCAACCCCTGTCACTGGCAGGAAGTTTTTCTTCTTTTCCTTTAGAAGCAATAACTCCTTTTACTATTAGGCTTATTCACTCTAACTACCCAGACTTTCTGCCAAATCCTTCTCCAGTATCCTGTTCTGTAGCTTTCCTGACTGAGAATCTAAATTCTCCCTCAGAGCAGTTGTAATATATATCTAAGACAATGGGGTTTCTCTTCTCTCTGTAGAAGTACTTTTCTGACTATTGCCTGTCAGAAATCACTGACTCCCAAACGTCTCTTCCCTCAGAAGCCAAACCCTCTGGCTACTGACCCAGATGTTTGTTTTCAAAACAAAAGGCGAAAGACCTCTTTTCCCTCCAGATCAGCTGTTTTATTTCCTCTCTCAGCTGATGGTTGGCCAGTCAGAGAGCGAGTAGGGCAGCCAATCACATAGGCTCTTCTCTCCAGGGAAGATTAACTCATAACCTCCCTGACTCTCTGACACAAGCAGCATTTTTTTTAAAAGCCTGCTTTTCTATTCAATCTGTCACAGCAGGCAACTGGGAAACACAGTAGCACACAGGGTGCATTCAGACGGGCTGTTTAGTCCGCTTTCGACCTGCCTCAGAAACGGATTTTATCTGCGCGATCACACAGTCAACATCTGCCTCCTGTCCCCAGCCATTGCTTTCCGGCTCAAAACCACTTTAACCTGGAGTATTTTGATACCAGGTCCCCAAGTGGTGTTTTCCTGATTCTCCGGTTCCGGTCGCACTTTTCTGACATCTGATAGCTCCTGCGGTGTTGAGCCACTTCCGATTTAAACCTCCTCCCCGCTCGAAAGCTGCCCGAGGCTTCCACTTTTCGCCCACCATTTTTTTAAAGCATTGGCGTTGTGCGCATAGGCAGAAGTCCGCCACCGCGTTATTAAAAACAGTGTTTAAACGGTGCCTAGTTTTAGCGTTTAGACGAGTTCGGGATCTCACGGAGGCCATTTTTGGGGTAAACGTTTAAAGGGAAGTGTTCCTTTAAAGTTTAAAGGGAAGTGTTACAGCAGTCAGGTTGAAGCGGAAATTGCTGTTCTGCGCATGCGCGAAAATTTTAGTTCTACAGATACCTGTGCGCATGCCCAAACTGAGAAAGAAAAAAACAACAACACCGACGCACGCTCCCGTGTGTGGACGGCAGGGAGCGATGTGGCTGTGCAGCGATCTGGAACAAGGAGGTGCGTGTGATCGCAATTCTCCAGGTTAAAAAAAAACCCGCATCAGGGCCGGAGCAGTTTAACCCACTCCCAGCACGCCGTCTGACCGCACCCACAGAGAGCCAAATGCAAGTTACGTGTGTGCTGTCGTGGGGATCTATTGGCTAGCAACCATGCCATCAGAGGAACCAAGCAATTTGTTGCTTTCTTTGCTCCCATAACCACAACCTCTTTGCTTTTGGTTGTTATAGTACACTTTCAAATAAATCAATATAATCAATTCTAAATATGGGAGCAATGAGATTTAAAAAACTGAATAACCGTGCAGCAGCTGCTGTGAACATGAGGGGATTCTGACAGCCTGAAACAGGTGGTGACATGCAGTTGTGACCACCACACAGTAAAGTTTTTCAGTGCCTATCGTGTGGGCTTTTCCATCATTACGTTTCTGTCCTGTTTAGCATATCAGAGAGGGGGGAAAGGATTCTGAAGTCCGTTTTGAGCAAGCCAGCTTTCTTTTTCTCAGTCTCTGCTTTGTATTTATGTTAACTGCCCATCTTTCTTTCCCTTTACCCTTCCAAATGTATTTTATTTCCAGATCCCTGACTCTCTCCCTCTTTGCTTCTGACTTTTTCACCTGAGTATGCTGTGAAGTCAGTGGCAATCTCAACCCTTTGAAATTCATCCCCTGGATATAGTCAGGCA